GATAAAATGAAGCATTTAATACATGACGTAGATGAAGACATGAATGAAACTACAGACAAACTTAACTCTTCTCTCATTCTTCCTTTCAGTAAGGACTATGAGTTCTGTTCAAATGGTGTTTATTTCTATTGTGGAAAGATGGGTTCAGGTAAGACATTTAACCTCATTCGTCATATACTCATAACAGAACGTTTAGGAAAGACTCATATTATGACCAAATCATTATATCAGCAACTTCAGACTCTATGGACTCAACAGCGAAAACATTTATGTCAAAAGTTCAAGCCTCTGTCGTTAAAGTTCCAGACAGTGAACTCATTGAATTTCTTCAACGTTACATTCGACGTAAGAGGAAATATTATGCCATCGTTGAATTTATACAGTCAGGAATGCAAAAGACTTCTGAGGAGATGGAAAGAATTATTGACAAACACCACTTACGTCAGTACTCAGGAGTTTACGATATGAAACGACTTACAAACTACATTCTATCAAAACTTTCAAAATACCCCTTCAAAAAGTATCCTTCAAACACTCTGCTCGTTTGCGACGACTTCGCGGAAAAGGTTTAGTGTCAAAACCAGACTCACCATTAGCTAACATCATTACTAAAGTCAGACATTACCACTTAACTGTAGCAATACTTATGCAAACATGGAGGTTTTTAGCTTTAAACATAAAACGTCTCATAACTGACTTCGTTATCTTTCAAGGTTTCTCACGTTATGATATTGAACTCATTTGGAAACAGTCAGGTATAACATTACCTTTTGAAGAAATTTGGGAAGCATATAAGTCTCTCATCTCTCCTCGTTCATACCTTGAGATTCATATCATGACTAATACCATTAAAGTCAAAAATATTCCATGGAACGACCAACATTGTTTTAAAGTTTAACCTTCAATTGACTGATGGTAAACAAATTCCATGCATCTCTGTCGCCATTTCTGTTAATATTTTTGCTGTCATTCATATCATCCACTTCTCCATCCGTTAGCTTTTGAGGATATGCGTTAGAATAGCTGTTCTTAAATGAAGGCTTTTCACCTTTGAGAGCATAAACTCTATAACTTTCTGCATACTTTATGTTTGAACCTCCTGAGCCATCATTGACATAAATTTTTATAGGCTTCCACCCTTTGTTCATGTTCCTGCTTCTTCCCTTAGCTCTTTTGTTCAGTAGTTCTACATCTTTATACACAGCTCCTGTCTCAGTGAATTCAACAATATTTTCATTCGTTAGCTTTACATTCAAACCCTTGTCGAGTATATTGTTCATTTCATACATATAAAAGGTTTTATTCTATATGAAATGAGAAGCAAATCCATCTTAGCTGGTGCCGTTAATGTTCCAATTGAACCAACATCAAATGTTGACTCACGAACGACAAACAATATTGTCATAAAGAACTATAGTTCAGAGTGTTTGAAAGAAAAAGAACCAGAACTGAAATCCGTGAATTTAAACTCAGCTTCAAACGCTAACGCTACATCAGATGTTAAGTTAGAGTATCCACCACTGGACCAAATTCTTTCAAGAGAAGCCAACGACAATCCTTACACAAATGTTCAAACAAATCCTTCAGATAACGTAGACCATTACCTTCTTCAGTTATACCAAACAATTTTACTCAAAGACGATAAGAAGCTTTTGACAAATCTTATAAGCAAGAACCAAATAATTCTAACAAAGGAGGACCTTGAAAATGTTATATCACGAATAACAGGAAACAATGTGTCATTGACTATCTCGACCCTGAAATCGAATGCTGTGGTCAAACCCCCCCTATTCATGAAAATAGGTAACATCCGCATCATTGAAACACCAGGAACTACAGGAGTTGAGTTTAAGTATAAATATTCGACGAAGTATACAAAACTTTCAACAGAATATAAACTTTGTTTGAAATATGTTTTAGTAAATTAAAGCAATTTGTAATATCTATCCAAAACTTCTTCAACAGTATCGAACTCATCTTCATAATGCAAACCTAATCTTATTGACTTGGTGCAGTTTTCACTAACACAATATAGCGCTTTGCGCTCGGCGCCTTTGACGCCTTTTTCTGTTCTCTTGACTGACATAACTAACTCATTTGTTTCATCAAACAGCAAATAACCAAAGTTCATGACCTAATACATAACATTCATACTTTATATTTTTAGCTCTGAGTTCTCTTGTAAGCTGTTGCATTTAATATTTTCTAAAAAGTCAACTTCAACAGTCATTCGCACTGGTGCCTTCAGTTCTACAGGCTCCCTTGAAAGTCAACAAGTCTGAATTGCATGTCTTTCAAATTATGAGGACTAATGCGAACCCATTTACCTAAATGAGTTACTATGACAGGAACGTTTGGAATGAACATTGAATTGACTGCATAACAGAAGGATTTATATTCTACTGAACCTTTACTATTAACTCCTGAAATACCTGTGACATTAGCTATTTTTGACTCAATGTATAAAACAATTACCATAACATACGTATGGAACAGATTTCATCTCAATCGTTTTGTCAACACTTTTCAAAGGAAATGTCATATGGTATGCACCCAGAAGCAATTGAACTCTATGACTCATTCGTGGTATCTTAAACTCCTTCGCATAACTGAACTTCAAAACTCCTGCAATAAGTTTAACATTCATTAAGTTTTCTTCGTTCTCCTTGTTTATTGTAGTATTTATGAGAGCATTTAACACTCCAGCTAATGTTTCCATCTTATATTCTACATTATTGTGAAATCTTATTTCGTGCTTCTTTCCATCTATTTCAAGCTCCATGAAATCTGTTTCATCTGTTATGACAAAAGTTGCGATAGTATTGAAGTCAACAACTCTGAATGCAAGTGCTTCATTCTAGACCTAAGTTTGTTTGAAGCTTTACTGTTCCGTATTCGTTTGGGTCAGTACTTTGCAAATAGAACAACATTTTATTCTCATTAAAATATGAGTATTGCTGCATATGCGTATGAAGCTGACAGAGCTAAACGTTTATATTTTGGTCAATACTCTCTCACACTTACTGACAAATATATTGTTATCAGTGATGGAAATACCGAGAAATACATAACATGGAAGGACTATGAAAAGTTTGACCCTATTTTAACTCCATGTACAATGCCATTCATTGTAAATGGTGAAGTTGTCATGAAGAACGACACAACAGTATATAAGTCTGTATATGAAGCGTTAGAATATATGTTGAATTATAATCCCGAAAGATTTGACCCAAGCACTACACCATGTGCAATGCCTTTTATTAAGGACGGTGAAATCGTAAGAGTTCCGAATTCAACGGTTTACACAGCTGTTCAAAACAGTTTACAAAACATTTTAGCGAATATCTTTAATTCAGAAACTACAGAAATAAAATTACCATATATAACAGATGCTAAAGAAATTAAATCAAAAAACGACAACATTATTTACGTCACTTAATGATTTTTGAACTTATATCATTAATATTCCTGCACCAACTACAGCATTTGATCCAAACTCGACGGTTTGCAGTGTACCTTTCATAAAGTCGCAAACGGACTCTTTGAGTCCTGAAGGTCTTTCAGACCGAAGCGACCAGGGCGAAGCCCATGACAGTTCAGTAATTGTTTTAAGGGATTCAACAGTTAATGAATCATTAAAGGCGTCATTAATGAAAATCATTGATTTTAACTCATTCACGAATACATATAATTCATTCATTAATGTTTCATATGCTTCTAAAGAAGGTGAGCCAAAAACTATCGATAAAGCGGTGTATGAAATAAAAGCATCAACGACGAAATTGAATTCGTTAACTTTTGACGGTGATAGTTTCGTTAATGACATAACATCGGGGAAAACAATTTTAACGAAAGAATACTTAAAATCTCATGTTAGTGAGTTCGTTGAAATTGAAAAAGAAGGTGGAATTAAGTTCGATCCACTGAATTTCATTTTCAGCTTAGCGAATGCGGGTGTTAGTTTCGCTGAATGGACAACTATACAGAGTGAAATAAATGCAATATGGACGTTTTTGGGGTCAAAAGCGGGAATGGGTGAGCTTGTAAATGCTGCAAGAACATTAGGTGAAACAGGAAATTTTGTAGATGGTTTTAAAAGACTTGTTTCAAATGTTTTAACAAACACAAAGAAATTATTTAGATATACCATACATAACGGACGGATTTTCGAACAGGTAGCAACAAACCCTCCGGTTATGGCTGCGTTGATGATGGTTAGAGATATAAAACCACGTAACGACGGGAACGAAGAACATGAACAACAGAGCCCAACGGGCTCAGAGCCACATAGTGGCGAGGATACTGGTCGGGTTATTCAAGACATTAAAAACGTGTATCCTGAAGTTATTGATTTATTTAGAGGAGTTAATGATTCAATTTCAAAACATTCTATAACCCTCGATGAAGAGAATAAATTAACAGATTATATATTCGTCATTATTGCAGAACTAATGAAGAGAATAAATGAAAAAGGAATTGGTGATATCATTAATGTCAGCGATGTAATGATGAAAAGAAATTTTGACTCATTATTTACAAAACCGAAAACAGAATATAGTCTTTATGACGTAATTACCGAATTAATGAAAAAGATTAATGATAATAAGAGTTCTGGCGGAAGAGTTGAATTAGAAGTGAATGATGTTAATGAGAAATTAGCCGAAAAAGCAGAAAAAACCACGTTCATTAATATAACTTCAGACGAACAGATTATAACGGACTACCATGGATATTTAACACGAAGTGATGAAGCGAAGACAAAAAATGTTAATGAAAGAAGATATAAATACATTCGTGCTAAAGGTTATGACATAAGCTGTACTGTACAGTATGATGTAGCTAAAGCACCAGAAGCATTTGGTTATACCGGTGAAATTTATGCCTCTACTTTCAATGTTAATGGTGTATTAGTTGAACCAAGATTTACTTTGAGAGTTAAGTCAAAAATAACGTTTGAAGATGCTATTAAAAGTAAAGCTGACAAAGTTGAACTCGAAGCAATGAACAAAGTTTTGAAATCTCATAAACACAACATCTCCGATATAAATGAACTTCAAACTTCTTTAGACAGTAAAGCTGACAAGAACCATACACATAAATCCTTCACTACTGTTAGAGCAGACGACATAATATTGAACTTTGACCTTGGTTCAAGTGCACCATTAGAAAATCCAAGTACAAGCGTAAAAGATACTCTTAACAATTTAGATAACAGTTGCAGGAACATTGAAAGTCATGCCAGAAACTTTGAAGCATATGAACTACCAACAATGTTAGATAAGAAAGCAGACAAGAACCATACACATAAATCCTTCACTACTGTTAGAGCAGACGACATAATATTGAACTTTGACCTTGGTTCAAGTGCACCATTAGAGAATCCAAGCACAAGCGTAAAAGATACTCTTAACAATTTAGATAAGAGTTGCAGGAATACCGAAGATCATGCCAGAAACTTTGAAGCATATGAACTACCAGCAATGTTAGATAAGAAAGCTGACAAAACTTATGTGGATGCAGAACTAACAAAGAAATTTTCGAAACCAGATACAATGACATTTACAACAGAAATTATAAATGGTGAACCATCAACTCCATTTGAATTTGTTAGAGGTCTTCAACCAGATACTTTTGAATTTTTCTTGGATAATTCTATTGAACTAACATTACATTATAAAAGTGGAACAAATGCAACATTTCATCCGGGAGATACATTCCAAATGGTATTTAATGACATAAGTTCTTTAGAATATGTTTATAGAGTTATGAGCATATATGATTTAATATATCCTATAGGAGCTGTTTATACGTCTATGAATCCAATAAATCCAAACACTTTATTTGGTGGTAGATGGTATGAAATAGTTGACAGTTTTCCATTCTACACTAATACGCAGTCAATGAAGATGGGAGGTTCAAAGAAAATAGGTATTGAAAACCTTCCTTCACATATGCATAGGTTCAGTGGAAGAACATCTGTGGAAGGAAACCATTCACATTCAATAACAAAAAGAGGTTATACAAATCTTGCAGCGGGTTCGGATAGACAGGGAATGCATAGATATGATATTTCAACTGACCCAGTAGATTCAAGCACAGGTATTTTCTGTGGAACTGCAGGAAATCATACACATGTTGTAGCTGGTATTACAGACCCAGCAGGTAATGGAAAAGATTATATGCCTCCTTATATAACAATGCACGCTTGGATACGAGTTGGTTAAAATCTTTAACTTTACATAAATGAGCTTGAAAGAAGTATTCGAACAACATCCATGGAGGTCATTTAAGAAATTCAATGAAGCTGCAAAGAGTTCGGGATTTACTAACAGAGCTGAAGTGAAAAGGTTCTTTAACAAAAATGTTGTACATCAAACAAAAATAAATCCTTACGACTACTTTTTACCAATTTACTCCAACACTCCCGACGCATACCAATTTGACACTCTCATTCAAAGCAGAAAAGGAGGACATAAACCATTCCTCATCTTCATAAATGTTAACACTCGCAAAGCTTTTGCGTATATAATGAGAAATAAAGGAACTCGTGAAGTGTTAAGAGTTTTACAAAAGTTTGTTGCAGAACATAACCCAAGTACTTTAACATCAGACCAAGACAGTGCATACCTCAGCAACGAAATCACAGATTTTCTCATTAAGCATAACATAACTCACTACACTACTGAAGACCATAACCATAACATACTCGGCATCATAAACCGCTTCATAAGAACGCTCAGAGATTTAAATCAAGAGCGAGACTTTACCGAAGAAACAATGAAACATTTTCTCGAAGTATATAATTCCTCAACACATTCTACAACAGGACATACACCAAATTCAATGACACAACAACAAGAAGAAAAGTATATACAAAAGAAACGAAGCCAAACACAAAATATCAGAAATTCAACACAATTTACCCTCATTCCTGGTACAAAAGTTCGTGTAGTTCTTGACGACAAACCGTTGACAAAGAAACGTTTAAGGTTAAGTCGAAATTATTATATCATAGACTCTACGCAAGGTAATGGATATCTTATAAAAGCTGCTGACGACTCCATAGCATTTTACCCTCGTCATAAATTAGTCGAAAGTAGTAATGGCAAACTTGCTGAAACCATTGACGAAGCAAAGCGAGGAGTGGTTATTGAAATACTTGGCTACAACATAAACGATGACACTTATAAAGTAAGATATGAAGGAGGCGTTGAAGATGTTATACCATCTAAGAACTTGAGAGAGTCAAAGCCAACTCATCTGGGACCATTAGAGCGGGAGTATTGGAAAGACAAAAATATGCCAGAAAGAATAAGAAAATTCTTCTAAACTTTTTCATTAGATGTAAATCAGACATGAATGAGAACAGTCATGATATCATTAATGTTTTCATAAATTTACACCAAAAATATAATTTAGGTGAAGAGGTGAGATGTCACCTGTTTTCTCACCTCTTTTCTCACCCCGTGAATTTTCATGAATTTTCACAAAAGACCAAAAATAATGTTAGTTTTATTTTTATTTATTTTTTTATTTTGTATGTAAGAACAGTAATGTCGGTCGAAGCACAGACGTTCACGAACAAATCTAATGGTGAAACATTCACAAAAGGCACTTATAACGGTATTGAAGTCTTACGTAGAGACAAGGATGGTTACATTAATGCAACAAAGATGGCAAGAGAAGCAGGAAAGTTAAACCATTTAAACAGATTTCTCAATAGTACTAAAATGCAGGAAATTCTTGAGTTTTGGTTGAACGAATACGGTCGAGCCAAAAGTGGCTCGACCTCAAAACAAGCATTTTATGAGCTTACTAAGGGCGTTATGAATGAATTCAAAGGTATTTACATACATCCTGACCTCGTTCATTTTGTTGCTGAATGGTGCTCTGTAAAGTATGCATTTTATGTCAAAGATATTATGGACTCCATAGACAAGAAAGTTCATGAGAAGTTAGATGAAGAAGAACTCGAAGATACAGTGGAGAATGCTAAACCTTTGTTCGAAGAAGAAGTTGGAAAAATGTGTGAAAAACAATTAGAACATGAACGTGAGATATATTATGGTTATAGAGATTCTCCATACGAACTAGACCAATGGGAACAAGAAGATTTAAAGAGAGAATTTAGAGAATATGAACTCGCTAAGATAGCATTTGAAGCTGCAGAAAAGAAGTTAAAAGTTTGGGGTCGTTTTGTACAAAAATATTGTGAGTAAATGAACTCATGGGCTTCGCCCTTGCCGCTAGCGGCTTATTTTTATTGAATTCACCAAAAAATATAATTTAGGTGAAGAGGTGAGATGTCACCCGTTTTCTCACCTAATTTTTCACCTCTTGAATTTTCGTGAATTTTCACAAAAGACCAAAAATAAAGTTAGTTTTATTTTATTTATTTTTTTATTTTGTATGTAAAGATATGATTTCAACAATCGGCACAACAACAATTCAAGCCGCGAACGGCGGGACTCTGTCCACAACAACAACACCAAACTCGTTAGTTATGAATCCTACGTCAATGTTGGTAGAAATGAAAAGCTTCATTCCTTCTTCATTTACTTTCGAAACAGAAATCCAGAAGATAAAGCAAGAACTTTTAACAAGTAATTTAGACTGTAGTGCGAAAGATGAAACAAATGAACAGTATCTTTATGAAATGCAGGACATTATTGACCATTTACCTAAACTACCTGAAATTCAGCATCAAAAACTAACTATTCCTGAATTCGATGAAATAGAAGTGAAACCAACTGACTCAGTAGAAATAAAGAAGTTCATTCGTAAAGTAAATTATGAATTCCTTGGTTTTCATTGCAACCATAAAGTTATGGACAAAGATTGCGACATGGTTTATAAGAATGTTTCTGACATATATAAATCTGAAGAATTTAAGACATGAACATGTTATGGCAGATAAGAGATAAAGATAGAAGAGGTAAGGTATGGAATGAACAAATAAGACCCGCTATGTTTGAGATGAAGAGAGCAATTGACGCCTTGGTTGTTTTAGCAGGTAAGGTTTCAGAATATAACGCAAAAATGAACCCGCAATGTTCTAAATGTAAAGCAGCAATGAGGAAATATAACTACTCCGTCAAAGAGATAGAAAGAATGCGAAACGACTATGCAGACTTAAAGAAAGAAGCAGAAAAGCCAGCAGAAGATAAAATGAACATGTTAGAATTTCTTAATAAAAATTATCCAACAGCAGAAGATTTCCTTCTATCTGACGTCAAGAAGAAGTATAAAGAAACTTTCGGCATTGTTAAAACATTCGATGTACTGACAGAAGAAATAGAAGCTACAAAATTGTTTAGAATTTCAAATATACATCGTACAATTCATGTGAAACGCTTGTGAAAAAAGAGGTGAGAAAACAGGTGAGAAAACGGGTGACATCTCACCTCTTCACCTAAACATTATTTTTGGTCATTTACACTCATTTACGAAGAAGTTATGACAAAGCATTTACGAAGAAGTTATGACAAAGCATTTACGAAGAAGTCATGACAAAGCATTTACGAAGAAGTCATGACAAAGCATTTACGAAGAAGTTATGACAAAGTCAAGACCCTTTGGGTCTCGCCGCTTAGCGGCTGAGGGTGAAAAATTAGGTGAGAAAACGGGTGACATCTCACCTCTTCACCTAAACATTATTTTTGGTCATTTACACTCATTTACGAAGAAGTTATGACAAAGCATTTACGAAGAAGTTATGACAAAGCATTTACGAAGAAGTCATGACAAAGCATTTACGAAGAAGTCATGACAAAGCATTTACGAAGAAGTTATGACAAAGTCAAGACCCTTTGGGTCTCGCCGCTTAGCGGCTGAGGGTGAAAAATTAGGTGAGAAAACGGGTGACATCTCACCTCTTCACCTAAACATTATTTTTGGTCAAAGCTTCCACGAGAGAAAAGATTCCTCATTCGCTAAGGATTCCAAAAATGAAAAAATCATTGATTTCGGCTGAGAAAAAACAGCAAAACCCTTCTTCCACGGGAACAAAGAAATAAAGAAGAAATAAAGTAAATTTTTTATTTATTCCCGTGGAAGATAGAGCACTTTTATGATACTTTTTATTCACGACAAACAAGACAAACAAAGAAAATAAGAAAATACGGCGCTGTCGCGGTTCGAACCACAGACTCTGACCCCTCCATAACACCACCTTAGACCACTGTGCTACGTAGCCTGTCGACATAAGATTTTATAAATTGCATATTTGACGTAAATTTATTTCCATCTAGCTTCCCACCGCATAAGATATTCATACGTGTTTGTAAGACATTCATTAAACTTCTTTTCTATTGCATCTAATCTTGCGTTATTTTTTTCAATAACTTGTCTGTATTCTTCATCATCTCCAGCAGTGTTTGGGTCTTCACGTTTAAAATATTCATTGTTAACCAATTTTTTATCTACAAATTTTATTAGTGTTTGATTCACTTCGTTATGATAACGGTCATATTCTTTCAATACGTAAGTGAAGACAAAATGCGTCGTACCTTCAATCTTAAAGCTTAAAGAACTTTCAACACAGTTTTGAGGGTCTGTCAGTGCGTCAATGAGATAGTATTCGAAGTCAGTCAATAATCTTTTTAAAGTCATTTCATACAGGATAAAATTTAATGTTGTGAAGAAATAGTGTTTATCTCAGAAAAAATAAAGTTAGTTTTTATTTTATTTATTTTTTTATCCTGTATGTAAGAACAGTAATGTCAACATCAGAGAACACAACAACTGCTATCGTTCATGAAGCCATAAATGAAGAATACGAATACATACAGTATAACAAACAATTGAGACTCATTCGTTCTGTCAAAGATGATATGTATCAAATGCAAAGTATAATGAACGCTCTTCGTTCTACAAAGCAAGCATATCATTGGTTTGAAAACCAACAGGCAAAAGAACTTTTAGAAGAATTTCCTCATATGATTGCTTCCCTCGGAAAACCGAGGGAAGAGATTCCGTACGAAAATCGCAAGAATTTGGCTCCTGGTTTGAAAGGTTATTATGTTCATAGACTTTTAGTAAATGCTGTAGCAATGTGGGCTTCACCTCGTTATGCTTGTTATATTTTCATGATGTTAGATGAACTATATAAAGCAGAACGTGGAGAGATGGAAAAGAAACTTCAAGCAAAAGATGAAGTCATTGAATCCAAAGACAAAAGCATACAGAAAAGAATACCACGTTCAGTACCAAAAGGAAAGGAAAAGAGTTATAAGTATATGATATATACTGAAGAGATGGAGAAAGAAGAAGATAAAGATATGGTTATGTTGCATTTAGTCAGAAGAAACAACAAGAGCTTTTATGACCTTGCTAAGATTTACAAATCTGACAGAAACTGGTTCTATCGTGAAAACTTACCGATTTCAATGACACCGAATGAGCAAATAAAAGAAATTGTCAAAAATACTCTTCCTCAAACACACTATGACATCAAAGGTTGCACAATACTTACATTCAAAGAAGACTTACCATTACTGAATGAAAAAATAACAGAATATTTCGATAACTTCAAAGAGGAAGAATGAAGTCACGACAACATTAACGAAGAAGTCACGACAACATTAACGAAGAGAGAATGAGGTGAGAAAACAGGTGAAATCTCACCTCTTCACCAAAAATATATTTTTGCTTAAATAGCTTCAGGGTCAATTTCTTCAACCATTTCACTTCCTTCGTCAATGTCAATTGAAGCTTCTTCAACCTTTGGTAAGAATTTCTGTATAACATCTTTGTTCGTTATTGTCTTCAGAGATGAAGGATAATATTTCACATTTGTTTCACCCTTCTTATATTCTTTCTGTTCGGAAAGATTCATAGCAATACTGAAGAAGTCAATGTTAGAGTTCTTTATGACAGTATAATGAGTATCTTTGACATTCACGAAGAAACCCTTTTGTTTCAAAACTACTGCTAACTCTTGTGAAGTATAACGTTTGCGGTCAATGACGATAGCTAATGGTCTGACATACTGACCAAACTTAGATTCTTTCACAAACTTCTTGTTAAAGATAACATTAACATTTGAAGCATTATTGAACTCATTCTTGATGGCAGTAGCGAGAGCATTGTATGAAAAGAACTTGCAATCTTGCATGTGTTTCATTAAAATAAAAATATTAAATTATTTTGAAAAATAACTTAAAAAAAATCTAATCTAATTTTTTCAAAAATATTTTTTTATTTCCTACTAAAGATGTATCGGAAGTTGTCTAAGTTAGAACACTCGGAAATAAAACAACTTCTTACAGAAGCTAATATAGATGTTGCAAAGCATTACGCAACAAACAAAAAAGCACTCGCTGACATTCAAAGACTATAATGGTGCAATAAGTTATGATAGAATTCATGAGTTCATAAAGCCGCAACGCGGCGAGGACGAAGTCCATGCAAGAGCATTTCCTTTAAATGACATTGCTATTGACTTATATCATAGACGTTCAGTACCTCATGAAGTAAGAAGAGAAATGTTTGACATAACAAATGCAAACGTTGGTGAAACAAGAAGAGAGACGACACACTGAAACAACAGAGAAGAGAGATGTTTAAAAGTGCTATAGAACAAGTTCGCAAAGCTAACGATGTCATTCGTTCCATTGACGACAAACCAAAAGAAGGTGAGAGATGGTTAAAGAAAGATGAAGAGAATAGGAAGAGAAATGTGAAGTCAGGCAATAGACTCATTGACTTTAACATCGAAGCTTTAGATGAACCAAACAGAGACTACTTACACAAACATTTCGGTAAGGTTTTCATGAGACTCTTAGAGAAAATTAAAATAAACTCACAACAGAGATGGATGGTATGTTATAAACTTGGTGGAAAGTATGAATGTTCTACGTTAAACCTCAATAATATTGGAACATTACTACATCAGCTCTTGAAGGAGAACTTTATATCAGAGATAGAAGCAAATGCTGCAGGTATTGTTGAAATGCACTATGACTTCTTCTTGACAAACATAAAGAATCTTACCGAAAAAATAATGTATTTAACAGAATATGAAGGCTTAACGATGTCAGATGTAAAGAAAGGCAAACCAAAAAAGAGACCATATAGAGATGAAAGCACACTGACAGAAAGACAGAAAAGATTATTGAACAAACTTAAACAAACAGGAGATAAACAAGATATAGATGACTTCTGGAATGAAATCCTTGGTGAAAAGAAGTTTTATAAGAAGAGAAGCGGTCAGTTCTGGAAGTATCTTTGCACATTACCTATAAATCTTGAACGCTACCAAATCTTCAATGAACTGAACAAAAGAACTGCAGCACTTATGACAGAAGATAACTGCTTCGTTTATGCTTGCATTCAGGCTGGAGTAAATGAAGAAACTATTGACCACATGAGAGAAGTCATTCGTGTTAGAGACTTTCCTCAAAGTAAAGTACAAGAAATTTCTGACGCAACAGGTATATCATTTAATGTTGTCATTGGTTATTTCAATGACTCAAGACATAATGAAATAAAGAGATATATACCAAAAGAATGTGAAACTGTTCGAACTATTGACTTACTTCTTGTTGAAGACCACTACATGCTAAATGAAAGACTTCCAATGACAACATACTTCATTCGAAACTATAAAGAAATTCTCAAAGCTTGTGGTGGAATGAACATTGAGAAACAGATGAAGATTATACAAAGAGAGAAGATAAATATGTAGTTCGTTATGATAGAACAACACCGTTATGGGATGTTATGAAAACATTGTGGGAGTGCAAATATTTCGAACCTATTTCTTATGGAGAACTTTTCACATATACTACTGACTTATATAAACAGAACCTTGCACCATTTAAAGATTTGACATATGCTCCAAAGTATTGTGTACAACTGAAGAAGAAAGCAGAGTCAAAAGAAGTAAATAAAGCTAAATGTAAATTCATACCTGAGCACGTTTTCTTTGCTGACTTTGAGTGTAGTACGGATGGCTTTCATAAAGCTTTTAACATCTGTTATGACAGTGAAGATGGTTCAGTTAGTGAAAGCATTTGGGGTCAAAACTGTGCAAAGAATTTTTGGAAAACTTCCTGACAAGAGTTTAATATATTTTCACAACCTCAGTTATGACATAAACTTCATCTTAAGACACATGACAGAAGTGAAAGGAACTCCCATCATTAAAGGTTCACGAACAATGCAAATAACTGGCTTATATAAAGGACGGGCAATTATTATAAAAGACTCTTACAGTGTTATAAATAAGAAGCTTAAAACTATTTCCTGCTATGTTTAACTTACAAACAGGACCGAAAGAAGTATTTCCATATAACTACTACAGCAGTGTTTTGTTAGCAAATGACAACAGAACTGGTGTCATTTCTGAAGCATGTAAG